CCCTCCCTCCCTCCCTCCCCCTCTTTTTTTAAACTTCATTTCCTCGCAATAGCTCCCCAACAGTTTAACAGGGATGACATCTGTTTGACTGCTCCCATGATCTCGCCCATATTATTCTATTATTCCATCATAATTCTTGTTATGAAAGTGCAAGGAGTAAAAAAGCCTTTGCAAAGACCACCTACTACAAAGCCATGATGAAAAATGCCTTTCGTAAACATCATCTTTGTCTTTACATGAGCTTCTCAAATAAACTGTCGTCTCACAAAGGTTTGGGGGAAAAAAAATCCCCAGACAGTTCTGAGCATTACAAGCTTGCTGAAGATGGGACATCTCCACTCGCCATCCTACAAGCCACTCTAAAAGCAAATCTGAAGAAAAGAAATATGGCCCAGCATAAGGAAAAACAGACATCTAGTTGCTAAAACAAGAGCTCTTAAAGGGGTTTTCCCATGTAACTCTCAATGCTGAGCAGAGGAGAAGCACGAAGTCAAATGCCAGCAGCTGCCATGCCTGCTCTGGGAAGCAGGGTGCTGCTCACCACTCTGGATCAGGTACCAGAGTGTCAGATAAGGGAACAACCCCAGATCAGGATTTAAGGCTATTGAATGGTAAGTTCAAATCCCAAAGGAAAAGCGTGATGAAGGCGCACACCTTTGGAAGATGAACCATCAGTACCACCTTACAAACTTCACCAGGGGAAAAATTAGCAGTTGAAATGGTTTAAAAAGGAGTTTCTGGCTTCTAAAACAAGACAGCGAGTGACTGAAAATTCAGTTAGGTTAAAGTTTCCAGTGGTACTTTGTCACAGACACTGAACTTAAAAGACTCTCTGGGAGGAAGGCAGACTCAAGGTCAGTGCAAGTGCCACGGTCATCTAGCAAAGGGAATCTGAGCTGTCAAGAAGAGAGCAAAGAAAAAGCCTATTTGTCACTGCTGAGAAAGTCTAAGCTGCAAGCAAGCATGCAAGTCTTCAGGTGTCAAAGATTTATTTGTTCTCACTTGTAGGGATGTGACAGAATACGACTGAAAAAAAGCTGAGGCAGGAGCAGCAGGAACAACCAAAGCATCCCCCATGTTCAAATCACAGTATGCCTCAGATGTTGCTGTTTACTTTTTAAAAAGCACCTGAAAGCAGCTTGTGAGGGACTCCTGCCACACTGACATCACAGCATTCAGTGCCTTCCAAATGAACAGATTTATGAAATGCCCTTTTTTAAACAAGCAATGAATACTCAGATTCCAGAACCTAGGTGATGGCCTTTTCACCTCAAACTACACAAACTTGTGCTTCTGCTGAATAAATCTAATAATTTGTTTTCATGAGAAAGCCCAAAGAGTCCCCTGAGTACAACACACTACGACAGAGTCAGCGAAGGGACACAGCAAATGACCCCAAGAAGGACGACAAAGCAAAAAGCTTCCTACATGTTTGCACTCAAAACCACTACAAACTGATGAAAAACACCATCACAACCTTTTCTGTGCTTTATCTCCCCAACCATATAAATTCAGATGGACAATCTACATAAACCAAGATTTAAAAGCACCCAAAGAGCAGCACTGTGAAAGTAACTGACATTTATTAACCCCTCTGGAGATCTTCAGCGCCCTAGAATTTCCACAGCCTTCAACACTGCATTAATAATACAAAGTCCATTCCTGCAAGCCTGCCAGAAACGACTGGGAAGTGAATAAGCCAAACAATGCTGAAATTCCAAGTGATATTAAGAACCTATGCATGTTTATTTAAATAATAAAAGAAGACCTGTCAATTTAAACAAGAAGCGCTCACGAATCTCATGTTGGGGGGGCGGAAACGCTTCAAAACACCACTAAGCTACTTATAATGAAAAGATGAACAAACATAAAAAAGGGGCAATTTCACCATCGCACAGAAAAAACAAAGCCTCGTTTGTCCTGCCCTGTCATACCCAGCACGCTGGCTCGAGTTAACAGGGACAAGCACGTCACCCTCGGGGACACGAGGTGCCAAACTCGCTGCCAGCCCGGGGAGATGCGCAAGTTCTGCCACGGAGAGGGCAAGCAGCAAAAAGATGTCGAGTATTAAATGTCATAACACGATGCCCTCCTCTTTCTAAAAGAGCTCCCAAATACGCCAGTGGGTCACGGAGGGCGT